CCCCCCCCCCCCCCTCCCTCCAAAACCTCATCTAAAGATCTCTCTGCCCTTTAAAAATTCTATTGTTCCTCTCTAACCACATTTTCTTTCCTTTTAAAAAAGCAATTCAATGGTAAAAGAAACTCGAGTTTATGAGAAATTTTTGTCAGAGCATGTGTAAGGGGGTGGGTACCATTAGTTAGGTAGAAACAGTGAGTTAGTTATCATAAGGGTTCTTTTTTAACATTGAAGACTCTACGACAGATGTGTTTTAGAGTTTAGGTTCAGAGAGATGTGCTTTTCATATGTATTTTTGTAAAGTGCACAAACTAAACCAAAGGGAGCAATATTTTTTTTCTTCCCCGATGCTTAACGGTATAGAAGTCGAGTCTCTCTTTGGATAATTGTTCTGATCTAAATCCCATGCTCACTATTAGCTGCTTAATAAATCCTAATCTACCTAGGTTTCAAAATCATGATTTGACACTGGCCCATTTGCATCATAAAGAGCAGCAATGAGAATCATAAGATTATATCACACGACACTCTATTGGCCATTCAATTTTTATGATACACTGAAGCCTGTTTACTCAATGAACCGCATAACCAAAGGCAAGCCAGTAATCCTATAAACTTCTGATGGTAATTCATTCCATAATCATATTACTGATAGTAGTAGCTTAAGTGGATCAGCACCATATGATTGCACAAGTGGAAAATCACATCATGCCCAACACCTCAGATTGTCTTTCAACTCCATATAAAACTATGAAGCATGGCATTACTTCGAAAACAAGTTTTCACTCTCTCTTAATCTCAAACCAAATTGGTACTAAACATTAAGCATATCCGGCTACCAAGATAGCCCACATTTACACTAAAAAAAGCAAGAACACCACGGAATTTCCATAAAGAAAAGTAGAATGAATGAAAATTTGGAATGAAATAACCATTGCCCAGAAAGCGAAAAACCATTAGTTATTTAAAACACAGCTCAGAAAACGTTAATGTCAGCTAAACCAGAAGCTCACAGAAAGTTGTCCATCGGGTTGAAATTGGCAGCGGCGTGAGACAGACTCGGAGATTTCAATCCAGGAAACAGGACCAGAAGGCGATTTCTCTGCGTCCTTGCGCACGTTGAACTTGTTCTGCGTAGTGGAGGAGATTCAGAAGAAGATAGGGACTGGAATGATAATAAAATTGAAATGTACCAGGAAGTCCATGGAGGAAGACTCGCAATTTGCCTAATGACCGCTTCGTTCCAGAGGTGAAAACGCCGCCGCGAGAATCGGAGTTGAAATCCACAATTGCCGCCGAATAAGGAAGTTTTATCTGTTTCTCCGAAGTGGCAGAGACGTTTGTTTCACTATTTTTATTTATTTATTTATTTATTATTATTATTATGTTTTTTTTTAGTTTTTAAGACTATATTTAAAATGATAATATTTATTTATTAGTTTAAATTTTTTTTTTTTTGTTCGTACTATAATTTTTTTATAACCGTCCATCGACATTGTGGACACTTCCAAAATTTTCATAAAATCAAAGTTAAAATCTAGAAGTACGACAAGTTCACATTCGACTCAAATTAATTTTAAAATATATGAATCAACAACTTAAAAACTTCACTCATAGGAAATGTGATTCGTGAGAGATAACACACTCATTCGTATGATATCTTTTCATTGATTCCAAAAATAACAAAGTTACGAGGGTTGATGTAAGATTCCTCGTTGTTGGTTGGAGAGAGAAACGAAACATTCTTTTCAGGATGTGAAAATATATTCTAGCAGATGCATTTTAAAGCCTTGAGAAGATGACTTTTAAAACCTTGAGTAGAAGCCTGGAAGGGAAAGCCCAGAGAGGGCAATATCTCCTAACAGTAAACCTGAGCTGTTACAATTGATTTCCGAAGTGAAAAATATAGAACAAGAGAATCGCTCACATAGCTAATGATAGATCGAAGATCCGACCGTATCCCCTTCATTTATAATCTAAACAAGCATGATCAAACACAGATAAATAGCTACACTTCCCTACGTTGGCCTCCGTAAGGATGAGCCGAGTCAGTGGATTTCTGTAGATGCTGCCATTAGAGGCTTCATTTACAGCATTCACAACGTCGAGTCCGGATCATCGTCATAGTCAAAATCTTGCTCGCTTGATTGTCTCATTCTCTTTGCATCCCTCGGGGTCGGTCTTCCCTTTTTGGGTTTCCCTCTGCACATGAAATGCACAAATTTATGTACAAACTATCTGAAGATAAAGCACCTTCAAAGCTTTACAAAGTAAGATAGTTACAGGGTTCAGAGAAGTTATTTCCTTTTCCTCTTTTATCTGTGGTTGTTCATTGTTAAATGGTGTTTTATGTTGCAGAAGTTTAAAGCAAAATTATCGAAGGAAGGAGAAAATTGGCAGAATACTAACTGTCCATTGGAATATATGCCACCGCCTTTAGATCTGCCGGGACCTAAGTCGGATCTCCCATCTGCAACAAGGTTCACAAAAGAAGACCATAAAATTTAATCATAAAAAATCAGAAGAATTTATCTTAGCGTTAAGACTCACCATCACGTCCAGCTGCAAGCTCTTCAGCCTGAAAATTAAAGTGAAAAAGAACGGTAGAATATGAAATCAAGAGCAAATTTGTAACCGCTCAAGCTCACCCCTAGTAGATATTCTCCAATTTAGCCCGTTACGTATCGCCGTCAGCCTCACGGTTTTAAAATGCGTCTATTAAGGAGAGGTTTCCACACCCTTATGAAAATGTTTCGTTCCCCTCTCCAACCAATGTGGGATCTCACAATCCACCCTTTTTGGGGGTCCAGCATCCTCGCTGGCACACCGTCCGGTGTCTAACTCTGATATCATTTGTAACAACTCAAAGCCCACCGCTAACATATATTGTCTGCTTTGGCCTGTTACGTATCGCCGTCAGCCTCACGGTTTTAATATGCCTCTACTAGGGAGAGGATTCCACGCCCTTATAAGAATGTTTTGTTCCCCTCTCCAACTAACGTGGGATCTCACAATCCACCCTTTTTGGGGGTCCAGCGTCCTCGCTGGCACACCGTCCGGTGTCTGACTCTGATATCATTTATAACAACTCAAAGCCCACCGCTAACATATATTGTCTGCTTTGGCCTGTTACGTATTGTTGTCAATCTCACGGTTTTAAAACGCATCTACTAGGGAGAGGTTTTCCACACCCTTATAAGGAATGTTTCGTTCCCATCTCCAGTCAACGTGGGATCTCACAAAACTACACTAGAAACTATGGGGAGAGGAAGAAAGGTTACGACAGTGGGAGGTCGTAACATACGAGAAAAGGGGAAATTAAAGTACTCAGCCAGAAGTACAAGACAACATATTTTAGATTTTCCAGATAGAAAACAAAGTATACTGTATAGCATATGCAACGAGCTTCACCATTAATTTATTCAGTCTATAAATCCATAAACATAAACCGATTTCAAATTACAAGTCTGCAATTTCCTAAGTTTTAAAAGAAACACACACACAAAAACAACTTTTCAATAAGAATTCGAAAGGCTACAACAAGACACAAAAGCTTCAAATAGTATACCCAAACGTTATATAGATCTAATAAAACCCCAAATCATAGTTCAATCACCTCCACAAAAATACAAAAAATCGTCCCAATTTGAAGTAATTACCATAGTGGAGTACAATTTTAATTTTATTATAAAAAGAAGCTCAAAGATAACAATTATTAGCAAAATTATGAAACGCTCTCCACTTCCTAGAAAATCCCTAAAGATCCTATATAGTTTCTTTCTAACCAAATACCCTAAACACATAATTACATAAAACATTAATTTTTCCTTTGAAGAAAGTATAATAAAAAAGTTCCATGATAATCTCTATAAGCGAAAAGTGATGAATCCAATTTAGTCCAAAAAATTGTAGAACCAAATACCAAAAGTTTCTAGAATACAAATATTAAGGCAAATGGCTAATGCTTCAGATCCTAGATAGCAAAGCATACACTAAAATGGATCCAACATCAATCTGGATATCTTATTAGCCCCAAACTTAAGACCTTATACCGAATAGGATGTCCTTGTCTTAGCCCTCTAGATGCATTTATCATTTGTACATAAAATTTATTAAAAGCTAGTTTACATTTGTTTTACATGAAAAATTATATCTCTTGTATCACACAACTAAATTTCCACTTCAGACACAGGTTAAGAATCGAAGTACATACAGCAGGGGAGGTAACAGAAGACAGTGAGAAGAGCCTATCTTCAAGCTGAAACTTCCTAGACCGCTTTAAACTGCATCCACAAGTATTCATAAACTTTACCTCACTTACATTTTTTTTTTTTTACTTAAAAAAATAGCCTTCGAATGACTTTACAATAAAAAGGGGAAACCTTTTGTAAAAATAATGAACATTAAATGACCACCACAGCCCAAATCTCCTCTTAAGAACTGAAGTGTCACTTTTACAACTTATGAACTAAACGGAAATTAATTTAGAACTTAAATTAAAACTTCAGAGACCAAAAGTGTGATTTTTTCTAAATTATATTTCAATTGGAAAGAGAGTATTTTATTGATCCCATTACTAAATTAAAACTCAGTAAACGTAAATCTTCATGAGTTAAGACAGGTAACATGCATGAACAACGAGAACTAATATGAAAAAATTTCTGTGAAATAATATTATAGACACTCCATACAGAGCAGTACTCTTAGATGCAGACAGGAATCCTTCAAAACCTTTCAATACATTCCCACATTGGCTTGGATCCTGTAGGTAATTAGTCTCCATGTCATAAACCTGCATATATTACCGGATATAAGTATTGAAATTAGATGGAAGTAAAACCAAAGAAGCAATCCTATTAGTTTTCTTAGAATACAACACTGCTTGTTTGTTAACGAGGTAAGCTATTGTACTTTAACTTCTCATGAAAGAAGGATGTAAACTTATTGCAACTTTACAAATAATAATATCAACAAAAAAGTCTCTATTTCTTGTTCAAAAATTAGAAGGGAAGTGAAAATTACTTTCTACACTGGAAAAAAAAGTGTTGAGAGAACGCTTTTTAAGACCTTTGATATTCCACAGGTATTTGATAGAATATAAAAGTTGAATACTCGCCCGCCGCTAACTGGAGTAAGGCTTAAAAGTAAAGCTAGGTTGTTGCTAGCTAATGCAGTGAAACTACTCTTTAGCGTATGTGGTATGCCAAAGAATCTTTCATAGAACAATTGTGACAGTGAATCCAGAACAAGTGACGCAAGATTTCATAGAACAAGTGGCAAAAAACGTAACAACTATAAAAGCGTAGGAACCCAACTGGAATCGAAACAAAAATCCTCTAAAAGACAATGTCAAGTTCATATTCAGAAATCAGAAGAACAGAAATTCCAAAACTCTTATCAAGGAATCAAAGCAAACCTGTTTCTCAATACTCCGAAGCTCGTCGTGGAGCTTTGCTCTCCTGGTAAGAAGACCAGCAAGCATTGCCGACGGATTGGTGGCTGTCTTTTGACCTGAAGCACATTTTTCCGTAATCTAAGAGAGTGATCGAAGCAATTGATCAACAAATTCAAATTGAGAAGAAAAGGCAAAATTGGAAAGGAATTCAACAACGGTTACCTTCAGCTTCCATAATCTCGCGGGAAACCTGGAAGCCCTAGAAAATAAATGGGGCAAATTTTTATCGACGCCGGGAATCTACGTTCCGTTGCTCATTTCTTAATTATTAGTAAACATTTTTTAAAATAACAAGGTCAAATTATATTTATTTCCCCCAAATTTTTTTAATTATAAAAAAAAATAAATTAAAATACTTTTATCTCTTTCACATCTGGTCTGATACCAAAGACAAAATGTTATTCTTTAAATAGAAAAAAGAGTGGATCAAATGAATTAGCTTATCCGAAAAAAACACTGTTCGTTAGAATATCTATCTCGTATTTGGTATTGCACGGTTCTACTCTGCAAAAATCTCAATTCATTCTATTGAAGCTCATCTAGCATTGTACAGTCACGTGGAATGATCCATTTGCCCCGAAATGATCTAGTCCAACAGGGTAACCTCAAATCCTCGAGTCTTTCAATACAATCAAATAGAATTAAAAGATGTGCTCGAATTTTCTAATCGTTCTTTAGAATTGTTTGAACATAGGCTTGAAACAAAGCCTAGGTTCGATAAAGAAGTATTTTGCCTTGGGACAGTCGATAGGCATATATAGTATATAGCCTTCAGTTTAAACTCAGTACATAATTTACATTTCCTGTTTCAAATATTAGCTAAAATTTCATTTAGCCATACCATTTATGAGCCAACTATTTGATACAATACAATACAAGTTGTGTTTTCACAAACCTAGCTTCTTTGGTCTTAGATAAGTTCCAGAACCTTGACGTAAACCAGGCATAGAAACTTGTTGCTGCTGCTGTCTCCTCTTCTCCCTTTCCTTCTCCTTGTTTTCTCTCTCGGACTCGACTTGAATCTTTCTTAACGACTCCATTTCCTCTTCCATGGCTGTTTTCGATTCTTTTTGCCTTTTCTTATGCTCCAAGAGTGATGTATCTGACTCCTTGACGGAGAAGAACATCGGTCCAAGTTCAGCCAACCATTGAGGCTCGACTGCAGTTGCACACTGCATATACTCCTTTGTCGTCAAAATCAGTTCGTGATACACGACGTGGTCGGGAGTACATCCCATGCCATACAGAGCACTGCTTGGATGAAGATGGCATGGCATCCCATTCCTGCAATTCACATATTCTCCCACACCCTTCAGTCTAGCTGCATTGTGAAAATAAGCAGAGCAGATAGCTTTTCTCACGAGATCCGTATCGGGCCAACAGGATGTCAGAGGTATTTTCAGAGTCTTCAAAATGTCTAACAACTGCGACCGCACCTCTCGAGCCTTTCGTAGCCCTTTGACGTGCAAGAAATGGTCATTGCACCAATCCCCCCTGTACTGGTGTTGTTTCCATTGTTGATAAACATTATACAGCGTTAAATGGTCGGATTCTGGTATGAAAAATCTTTCCCTTGCAGCATCACTCTCCTCGACTCGATCTTTGGGTCGGAAAAATACTGATGGTACTGAAAGCATCGAAACAATCGTCAGTACCTCATCGAGACACCCAAGCTGTTCGCCCATCAAAAGCATTTTGGCCAGTGGGGGATCTAGGGGGAACTCAACCATCTTCCACCCAAGTTCAGTCAAACCTCCTACATTGTTAAGAGCCCCCAATACCCACAACTGGTACATAGAGTTAAGAATGTTATCTTGTGGTGGTGGATCCATGAAGTCAAAATCCAGCAAGTTCTCAACTTTAAGAGATTTAAGCAGCAAAACAACATTCCCCAGGTTGGTTCTTTGGATTTCTGGCACAGGACTTGGCAACATTTCGTTTAAGTACGCACTTTCTGTGTACAAACGGTAGCAAGTACCAGGTCCAGTTCTACCGGCACGTCCAGCACGCTGATCAGCAGCAGCACGACTTACTGGAAATACCTGTAGTGCATCCATACCCATTCTAGGGTTATACACTTTCATTTTACCATAACCAGTGTCAATAACGTAAAATATTCCATCAACAGTCAAGGAAGTCTCGGCAATATTGGTGGCAACAATGCATTTACGAGCGCCATCTTCGGCTTTCTGGAATATCTTAGCTTGCAAGTCGGCTGGCAGCTGCGAATAGATGGGAAGTATCAAAAGTTTGGGCACCCCCTTTTTTGTGGTTGAAATGAGCTGTTCGATACGCTCTGCAAGGGCAAAACAGGCTGCCTCAATCTCGTCTTGGCCAGTCATGAAGATAAGAATGTCACCAGGAGGGCTTGTGATATGGATGGTCATAGCCTGCTTTACGGCTGCTTCGACGTAATCTTCACATGGAGTTTTGCTGTACAAAGTATTCACAGGAAATGTTCTCCCAGGGATGTGAAAAATGGGGACACTGCAAATATTTTTTGTGCATTAGTTATAAGAGGCATATCAACCCAGATATACACACATGGATAAATAATAAATAAAATACTAAATCAAAAATACCTTCCAAAAAAGTTCGAAAACTTTTGAGCATTAAGAGTTGCAGATGTCACGATAAGCTTGAAATCACGACGTTGGGCAACCACCTTTTTCAAGATCCCGAAGAGGACGTCAGTGCTAAGTGACCTCTCATGTGCTTCATCCATTACAATTACACTGGAAGAAAATGATAAAAGTCAACAAAAAAGAACATTTTCCTCCCCGAAATAGAAAACAAATCTGAACATGGCATACCGGTACTTTTCGAGATCAGAATCTTTGAGAGTTTCACGCAGAAGAACTCCATCAGTCATATACTGAAACAATATGAGGACAGGTTATTCACAACTAGCATTATCAAACATGAACCTTATAATCATATGGGTAATGAGTAGAATGTCATTCATCCTTGAACCCATCTCAACTGTGGTTGAGATATGCAATCATATAATAACTAGAGAAGAAAAAAACTAGCCGTGGAAGATCTCATAGAATGAAGAGTACGTTCTGAGAAGATGTATTCACCTTAATAATAGTTGTCGGTCCAGTTACATCCTCGAATCGAATGGCATAACCTACTTTATCACCCAACTCGCACTCCATCTCTTCGCTGACTCTTTTGGCTACACTCATAGCTGCCACACGCCTTGGTTGGGTGCAACCAATGATACCATTTGTAGTATAACCATCCTCAAATAGATACTGTCAAAGTATGTGGGTGTTAAAAGAGGTAACCTAATAAACTATTTAAGGGAGAAAAGGTAGTTAATGATGAATAAACCTGAGTCAATTGTGTGGTCTTTCCTGAACCAGTTTCTCCAACCACCACAATCACCTGATTTTCACGGATAACCTACAAAAGACATTAGACATTAGTTCAATCCATTAAAAAAAAGTTGAAAATAATTCAACAACAGTCCTCTGCCCCAACACAAGATGATAAGAATCCACAAACAATTTTATTTGTGTATTTCTTGCTACAATTTGTCAGCACAATCACTAAAGTAAATACCTATTGATGATCAAAAGAAGGATTACAATTTACCACCTAATTCAAACATTTGAGAAGTCTTTTTTTTTTTCTTTTTTTTTCTTTTTTAATAAAAGACCAACTTTCATTGAAGAAAAAAAAATGGCAAGAACACTAAGGGCAAGGACAAAACAAAGCTCACAAAAGAGAGCAACCCTAGAAAAAGAGGTTTCAATCAAGTAAGATATAACCTAACGAATAATGATAAGGAACTTGTTGCTAACGCCTAAAAGAAACATTAAATATCACAAAGGACCAAACATCACAAAACTCCCTCTCCATCCCTCTAAATATTTTATTATTTCTCTCCCCATAATCCCTTGAATAAAGCACACACTCCGACTTGCCATAAAAAAAACTTTTCTTCCTCCGAACTGGCAGATGGGGAAAAAAATTCATTGATCACATCTCTAAAAACTCTGTGACAGGCCAGATGAAGACCAAAAAAATAATGAGATGAAGTAATGAAGGAGAAAAAACAGAAGGAAAATAATTATAACCTGCAGCAGATCATCTCTGACTGAATATATAGGAAGATACTGTCTTTGTTGTGCTAAGGTATTTGACTTAGCAAAGTCACTCACTGCTTCCCCCTTCTTCATGTGCTGCGCAAACTTCGCATCTTCCTTGAAATTGACCTCACCTTCATCACCTACTGCTGCAGTATCTGCATCTATCTATCATATTAAAAAAAAATACATTAAGAACCATTATGGAAAGGGCACCAAAAGACATCATCTTTATGTTGCAAAGAATCACACAAACCTGCTCTGCTGTTTTTTCAACACCAAGGATATCACCAAGTTTGGAGCCTGCAAGCTCCCAAAAGCGTTGTCGTGACTTGTTCATGTTTTGTTTCTCATGAATTTCCCTGACCAACGCAGATCCTTTGCGCGATATTATAGCCATATCTGATGTAGCATCTTTTATTGGCATTATTGGTTCGGCTTGTTTAGTAAAAACAACTCTTCCATCAAGGAAAGGAGGCTTTGTATCTGTCACAAAATGCAACAACTTTAGCTTCAACTCAGCCAACGTAACGTTACAGTTATCACATATATGAAAGAATAATTCTTACCGTGGACAAGAAGAATGACTTTTTTCTCTTCCTCATCATCAAAGTCAGTCTGCACCTCAGTACCCCTAACAGCTCCAGATCTCAAAAGTTGTCGGTCTTCCCATTGTGCATTATCTGCAGTGAGCTGAGACAGCTTTTTGCTCTGAGAAAGGGTCATCTTGGTTCCATCTCGACGGACCTGCAGCATAGATCATGTTAACTCACTTTCATAAAATTTTAATTTTTTCAACAAGAAATGGAGAACGATATATGTTGAAAGAGGATCAAACCAAGGAACATCTAAACAATTCCTTAAATTTTCTCCATTACCATATTCACAGGATGGAAACTGTTCTAAAGAACGCGCAGTAGATGCTGATTTGAAACTAGAGAGCTTTTAAATAGACAAGGAACAGAGAACTGAACCAACCAAGCTATATTTGGAGTACACATATATTGAAATAAACATGGACAACATGGCAATTCTTTTGGAGTTCTTGATAGATCTAATAAAAAAAAACTAGAATATAAACAATGTGTATCGATAAACATAATAGTCAGATAAAAGTATAAAAAAAAAACCCGGCAATTGCCACTTAAACAAAAATTCTCAGAGGATATTTGTA